AGATACGAACTATCTTAAGTCTTAGCCCTTCAAACAAATAGACACCATGTTCGTTTGATCATTTATGTGGCTTATAAGCCAGCTGATGTTGTTTTATTATGAGAAAAAAAATATTATATCATGACTGATAAGCATGGCTGATACGATCAATCGAACAGGTAAGAAATTATATGTCAGACTTGTTTTTACCCCTACACGTGCTTTTAAAATAAGTGACATTCCATGTGCTCACTGCAGCTTTTCTTATCTGCAGCTGCAGTCGTGGCTGCAAAGAATGAACTAGAATATAGTAGAACACGATATTTTTTATGTTGCTACGTTTTTTTTGTGAAATTGAATTGATTCTTATAAAATTTCTACGTTCCAAACAGACCTAGAAATATTCAAGGGCACAAGCAGGCAAAATATTGAAGAAGCAAAGCAACCTTTTCATTCTTTCAAAATTGGTGTTCAGTAATATTTTCTACCAACAAAAAACGGTGAATATTATTATCACACACGTTTGAGCTCTTCCGTTCTCTTTCCTACTATTGCTTTTACGTTGCTATAGATGTTGATGTGCTTTCCTTTTCGAAATTTCTATCTCGTCAACAAGGCTGTCAATTTTATCCTTAAAAGATACTATAATAATGCCCTTGCTTAGCCGAAACTGCAGTTGGCTTTTCAGTTTTCACAGTATAGAACTGGCTGCCCATTTCCGAGCTAGAACGGTTGACCTTTAGCATAGGACGTGGGCTGGGTGGGGCCCACTTGCAGCTACTCTAATCATGGAATTAAAGAGCAAATTGTTGCACAGTAAGTTGGTCAAAGCATGGTACAACATAGTACGATAATGCCAAAAGAAAGTAATTGTGTGTTAGGTGGATGGACAAATCTACAATAAAATCGACATTATTATTATGTTATGAAAGGGAAACCATGTGATAGTTAGATCTTATTTAGAGAGGGTGGTTTTGTGCGTGTTTGGGGCTAACACACACCGAATTTCTTCGGTAGTCCACCGAAGAAAGCATCAGAGTTTTCACATAGTGCACCTGAACCAAACCCTAGCTACCAGAGCCATTACCGGAGAAGACCAACGATTCATGTTCATTATTACTATGATGAAACAAGTGTACTACTAGATTAACCACAACTAATAACCATATAAAACAAGTGATTACCATTCTAGAGTGTACATAAATCTTCAACAACCTTTCACGAGAAAACGAAGAAAGACAGATGTGGATGAGCCTTGTCGCCCCACATTGAGCACCGATTATAATCACCTATTATTTGGCTTATATACCTACTTAAAGGGAAAATGCAAGGAGGAAACAAAATGCAAGGGTTTTTTTTAGGTCTGCACCTTAGATTTCTGACATGTGTACTTTCTCCTGACCTAGATCAAACGGCTTTGAAAGAAGGTCCACTAGGTCACTCATGGTTACGGATGTAGCCATTTTCAACTAATACACAGACACTAAAAAAAGTCCCTTTTACCTCTATGAACTATCGTCATGGTTTGATTTCCTTCTCAAACTTCAAAACCATTTAAATTACCTCACTGTCTTGGTTTGGAGTGCTTGTAAATGCCCAATGAGGTTTTCAAACCATAAAAATGTCTTTAAGATTCTAAAAAATTTGAGAAAAAATCATAGATACATATTAGGACACGAAAAATCCAAATAACATATTTAGAATAGTGTGAAAATCTCTAGGAGCTTCCAAAAAATAAATATAGGTATAGAGAAATGGAAAATATCCAAAAACTATGGAAAAAATCCAAAACATTATAATCAATGTTTAAACGCATTTTGAAAACTTCTCACAATAAAAACACAAGATACAATCAGTACAAATGCATAGGATGAATGCATTCAACATCGATTGGAATGTTTGTAAATTTTCAAAATGTGTTATATTCATGATGGTTGCATCTTGTGTTTTTGTTGTGGAAAATCTTCAAAATGCATTTATACATTTTGTAAATTTCCAAACTTTTCTAGATTTTTTTCCATTTTCATAGAACCCTTCAATATGGGATAAGAAGCTAACGTAAACGGTTTTAATAATAGTTAAAGAATATTGATATTTAATTTGAAGAGTACGTTGGAGTTGGAAAATCAGGCCACGACCACGATGGATTTCCGAGAAACTACTGCGCTGCGCCGTGTGGTCTAGCCCACAGCAACAGGATAATTGGATGAGGCCACTAAGGGACATGCGCGCCAAGCTCGCCGTGCTCGCCACCGGCGCCCCTCCGCCACCACGGCCGCCCCACCCCCCGCGGCACCAGCTCCACATCCCGCGCCGTCGGTCCTTCAAGCCACCCCACTCTCTGCTGGACGGCGGACGGCCGTCGCCCCCGGTCCCAGCTTCGAGGAGGCGCGCCTGGCCGGCCGTCTCGGCAGCGCTCTTCGGTGCGGGGTTCCTCCTAGGCCCGCTGCTCGACGGAATCCACTCCCGCGTCGGCCTCCAGGTCTACGGAAACGGTGCCCTCGACGCCGGCCCTCTTCACACCCACATCCTGGTGCCGCCCCTGCTCGGCGCGTTCTACCTCACCGTCGGCCTGCTCCACCTGTTCTTGGACCAGAGGGCGCCCCCAAGATCCAAGGCCACCGGGACCGCGCCGAAGACGGCGACGTCGCTACTGTGCGTTCTAGCTAGATACGCTCGTGCTTCTTTATCTTCTGCTATGCATCGATCGAGTGGTGTGAATGATCCATTGATTTAATTACGCAGTGTTCTTGCTCTGTTCATCGAGCTGAGCGCGGAGCTGTACAGAGCAGGGGCGCCCAGCAACGTGGAGGCCTACATCCTGTTCGCCGCCGCCGAGTTCGTGTGGGTGTTCCTCGATGGCTCCTGGCTGGGCTTCGGCATCGCCTGCCTCGTCGGCACAGTCTGCCCACTCGCCGAGATCCCATTGATCAAGTAACGACATTCGTTCCAAGTTTGTTGTACCTACCCGGATCAATAGCTTCGTTTTCAATCTGCTGACATGCTATGCTCTGTACCACCTGCTGCATGCGTTCATCTTACATTTTGCTAACATTCCCGGCACTGCCACTGCTAATGTCGCATATGTATGCAGATTACTTGGGTGCTGGAGCTATCCGAACGCCGACGTCCACCTGCTCGGCGAGGTACGTTTTCTTCTCCGGCAGGCGACAGGACCGGATCACGCACGCATCTCTCTGTCCTCTGTTAAATACTAGCGTCAGCGTCACGTCGCTGTGTGCGGGTTGTTCAGGGGCTGGTGAGCTGGACGACGACATGCTACTTCGTCTACACCCCGTTCCTGGCGAACCTGGCGAGGTGGCTCGATTCACGGCTGGCAACCAACGACGACGGCGCGGAGGGAGACGACGAAGCAGAAGCAGCTCGGTCTTGACACCGGGAACAGCAGCACGCTCACCTGCGCTGCATGATTCCAGTCAGACTGAAAAACATTGCGCAGCCAGCGCCCCATGTACAGTTGCACGGTTCAGACTTCAGACATTCAGAGCTCCCTCCCTCTTGCATTGCGCAGTGAAGTATCGTGATGGTTGTTGGGTCATGCGAAGGTTCTCTGAGAATGGTCAGAGTAATACTCGGAGCATATGCCGTGCTGTTCCAATAAGCGTCTGATGGCGATGCGGCCTTAATTTTATGATGGCCGTAGGGGGAGGAGGAGAACGATGGGCATGGTTGTGCATAACTTTTGTTATAATGATCTGAAAGCATGGCCGCATTATGTTGAATGGGATTTGTCTTCAGGAGAGACACTCCAGCGATGTACGTGGCGACAAGTGTTCTGATACAGTTGAAGAACAGTTTACTCTACTTTTCGCTCTGATTGAAGCCATTATTATTACACCTGAAAAATAGTGTATTTTGTGTTGTTAAGAATTGGGTGCACACCTGAGAAAATACTGAATTTGTTGGGATTGTCAATAAAGTTCTTCTGTTACTAGTGTGCATCACACTTCTCTACAACCAATTGTGCCATTGATACTGTGCACAGACATTAGTGACAAACAACAGATGGATTTATCAGTATGTTATTTATTTGAAAGATTGGCCCTATATGGCTGTCAACTGAGCTTATTGCCACCTGAATTTTATCTGAAGAGAATCTGAATTTGATGTCGTAGTGTGACATCTATGCGGCTTATGACCTAGCTATCTAATTGGCATGTTCCATCAACTAGAAAGAACACAGCCTAAGCACATTACGAACAATGGTGTCAGTAACTGAAGTCTGAAGGAAATGAGCTGTCTTTAGAGCAGTCCAGCAGTTGGTATGACCAGATGGGCACTAGTGAAGACGTACACTCCACTGGCCAATGCAGTGCACGAATCTAACGAGCTCCCACGGGAAATTCAGTTAGAGCAGCTCCACCGGATCCCATTTTAATTTCCTATCCCTTAAAAGTTGCTATAGGGGATTGGAAAAACAGGAATTCTATAGGGGAAGGTTGCTTCAGCAGGCTGAGAAAAAATCACATCCCCCTAAACGTTCATAAAAAGAATTCAGTCAGGTAACGCACACTGCAAACCACATGCAGAAACGAAGAAAGCTTGTGCAATGCTGTTTTGGAGTAAAAGAAAAAAAAAACACGTATGAAAGCACAACCAGAATGTGGGGATGAAGGTGAACAAACACCGACAGGCATATTCAGAATGCGTTCATCACGACATCACTGCCAAGCACCAACCACGTCCCAACTGGCTCACCGCTCACCTACAGTCCAGCAGACAGCAACACAACGACCAAACCCCGACCATGGACTTTGTGTGATGTACCTGACAAGATAGCCTAGCACGAACACAACAAATTTCTTGCAAGAAATGCAGATTCACCTGAAACCAGTAAACAAAAAAGTCCGTGCGCTGTCAGAGCTCGTAGGTCACTGCTATATGAAGCTGTTACTACGACTGTTGATGCTTGAGCAGGAAGTTGAGCATTGCCATCATCCACCTGCGTGCGTTCTGAGCAAGACTTTTGAGAGTAGATCCATCGATCGATCCACTGGACGATGGCTTCCCTCCTCCTGTTCCTGCGAGCCATTGTCAGTGCCAACGACGAGGGACTCACGGGCGCAGCGGCGGAGGAGGAGAAGGAGACGACGACGCATGAACAGCGGCCGGGGAAGTGGACGTTCCCGTCGACGCGTCCTGCGACGGCACGCTTCGACGGCGGCACGGGCACGGAGGAGGAAGAACGGTGGCTGGTCTCCTGCCTGGAGTGGCCTCGCGTCAATCGCAAGTCCGCGTGGATGCAGATAGTTTGACGGCCGGGTCCGACCACCGAGTACTTGAGGAGACAATCTGAGTGTAACTATATATCACTCGATGACGGTTCATCTCGGCTTGGCCTTGCCATGTGTTTCCTGGAACTGGATGAATTCCGTCCGAGCGTTTCCACGTGGTGCTGCCAGTGCCAGCAGCCTTGACCCTTAGCCAAGCGTCAAGTCATTCCACGCTCGCTTGACCGCTCGAGGTAGTGAAAGCTCAGGTCTCGGTCCCGGATTCCCCAGCGGGCCAGCCCCGCCGAGACCAGACGTTGCCATGCAACGGCAACGAGACGGTTACAATTGTGCTACCAGCCTACCAGACATGGCTTCCCTTCTCCCAGAGCCCGAGGGGAGCGCGCTCCCATGGCAATGGATTGGGGCCTGGTCCGTCCGGGTCCGGGGTCCCTACCTGAAAACGGACGTGGCCTCGTCAGCACGGCTCTAGGTGCGGCTCATAGTCTTGCCGGCGACGGCAGCGTCCTCATGTCGTCATGTTCATTCTTGGAGGTGTCATTGAAGAACCACTTGCCACCTTGCCATGCGTGTGGTCTTAGGGTGAAAACCCAATCCGGTGTCATAGATGTGTGATGGTGACATCTTTCGTATCATTCTCCTCCTGAAGGCGTCGTATTTGGAGACCACCTACAACTCGTGGATGTTCATCTTGCACACAGCCCGAATCCACCTTCAATGATTAACCCTCGGTGTTTGCACAAGTTACTAACCGGCAAATATCACCGTCGGTGTCCTTAATTGGTTGCTTTGTGTCACCAAATGTCGGGTTACTGGGACCTTGATCCTCTCTTGGATCTCCTCCTTCTCCTATTGGCGGTTCTCTCTCCTTTGTGGCTTCCTCTCTCTGAATGGGCGTTGGTGGACGTCGATCGGATCTATATATATATATATATATATATATATATATATATATATATATGTGTGTGTGTGTGTGTGTGTGCGCGCGCGCGTTGTAAATCACGGTTGTCATCTTACTCGATATAAAAAACTTAACAGTCACATGTAGAATGAAGATCGCTAGAGAGTAGAGAGTGGTGTTAGAGCATCCCCAATAGTTTCTAAAAAAAGCAATTGGTAAATCAATGAGCTTTCTAAGTGACTAAAAAATGTTGGGAGCATATTTGTTGGGTTGCTCCAATAGTTTTCAAAATCTTGGTCCTAAAATATATAAGACAATTTTACATCAGGAATCTCATAAATCATCCTAACCACTTTTATATTTTCTTTCTCTCTTGTATATTTGCATCAGAAACTCTGTCCTACTCTTTATTCTTCCTCACGTCCTTCCACCTTCACATTGGCATCCATGTAATCAGGTGGAGTTTTCCATGTGCGGAAAGATTGGGAGTTGACACACAGAGTTGTTGGAGATGCTCTTAGTTAAGTACAGTCACTTGATAGCGGTATTAGTCTTTTTTGGGGGGAAATATGGTTTTCATTACTCAGAGAGAGCTGAATCATCAGTAATTATACATTGAATACATGCCAGAATGGAGATAAAAGATTGTTCCTCCTCTGGATCACATAAGCTACCTAACATTGCCAATTCATGCGCTACCCTATTACACGATCGCGGCCGTTGCTGAATCTTCCAGGAGATGAAGTTCAGAGCCAGCAGTCTTCGCAGTTCAGAGATAAGGTTGGTATTAGTTGGTGAACAACGATGTGCTTTTGTGATGGGAGTTTTTTATTTCCCCCTTATTTGTTATTGCTTTTTCATGGGAGTTTTTTTAATTAGGAAAAATTTTATGTGAAAGCGAGGTGCTGCTCTCAGTAAGGTAGAAAGTGCAAATTGTACACGGATTCCAACTGCCAGAAGAGCACCATTGATACACAGCATATTTTTTCAGTTACTTCCTCTTATCACAAATATAAGTTCATTCAAACATCAACACAATCTCCAAAGTGTGACTTTGACTGTAAATATCTATAGAAATATACTTACGATCAAAGGTAGTAAACTGGGATCCTCGTTATTCTACTGCGCTGCAAGCATAGGAGATTTAGCACAACCAATCAAGGTACAAAATGTTAAATGGTTCAAATTTCAGGGAGAACGCCCCTTCAGCCCCAGTCGATGAACGGGAGGGGAGGATAGCCGCCTTCAGGAGGAGGTTGCAGTGACGGCGGCAGGTTGCCCCAGGAGGAGTGCACCCCCAGTATGTTCCCTGCGCAACAATAACAGAGGAATGAAACATTGCCAATGCAAACTCGCTAAAATTAAGTGTGATGGAACTCATTAACGAGATAAATCATGATGGAGCATTTGCAAAACGGTGAACCTTATGCTTCCCTGGCAGTTTAAGCACTGGAAAGCAGCGCAACATTTCAGAATTCAGAGAAAGGATCTAGAGCATAGAGCATGGTTGTTGCAGACCAGGAAGCTGACAACAGCTCCAAACCAAACAAATTTAAGGTCTTTAATCAGTAGGCCCTCCTTCCTAGTCATCTTGAGGCACCAACCGACAGGCCCGCTTGCAATCGAATAGCCTCGAAACATCGAAACAGCACACGATCGGTCTCTGGTAGGTGCCAAGTCACTAACCAATGGACCCGCTGGCACATGATCATGTAATTTAAAACGTCCAAATAGGATGATTGTGTGGCAAGGGCTCAATTCATGGCATGATAGCTGACTAAACTGAGGATATGATAAGCATATAGCTTATCGCATATCATAATTCTTTCTGTAAGGTGGGTGCCAGAATTTAGAAATCTTTTGTTGGTTCGAAGCAGTTTCAGAGGAGAATATATTAGTACCTTATGTGTGTTTCTTCTAAGAGCAGGTGTTCTCTACTTACAAGTAGAAGTAGGTTTCATCTCATTCAACGGTCATCAACAGAATTTTCCCTTCATGGCATGTTAAATGGCAACCCAAATATTTTTTTAAAAAAAAATACTAGATGGAAAAAAATTTGCAACGCTAGAACTCTAGAAGTGCAATGTTTATTCTGGATTGGTGAGACCATGAGACACCTACAGTTAAGCACACTTTTCATATATTTACTAGTTACTTGACTGAGAGGGTGGCATATATAACTCTTAAATTTTCATGTTCATTGTTTTCAAGTTCGGGCTTCATAAAGAGTACTGTAAACAATCTCTAAGCATTAACTAGAATGCAGAAATTAATTGTTATGAAGCAAAATCCAACTAGTAATTTCAAGGTTAGGCATGCAATCATACAGTTAACTATAACAATATTGTGTTGATAAGAATCTCATGCAATAAAAAGATTACCTGAGGAAGAATTTCTGTCTGCTCCCTGGTATCCAACAAAATTGGGTTGGTTCCCAATAAAATCAGACTGCTGCACCATGGGTCCAGGTCCAGACCCAGGCCCTGAATGATACAAGTTTATTGGAAACATATAAGGCCTATCCATGGACTAAACCAACTTAAAACTCAGTATTGTTTTAGCGCTAACGAAACCAATAAACAAATGTTTCTCCTAGTTATAAGTATCAGGTGTTAGAAGGGCGGGCCTGATGCAAGCGGTAGAGTCTTACCGCCTCTGACCGGAAGGTCCCGGGTTCGAGTCACGGTCTCCTCGCATTGCACAGGCGAGAGTAAGGCTTGCCACTGACACCCTTCCCCAGACCCCGCACAGAGAGGGAGCTCTCTGCACTGGGTACGCCCTTTTTTTATAAGTATCACGTGTTACCAAAAGTAGTTGTAAATATAAGCTTTGTAATGCATTCAAGATAATTAGTCATACCTAACAATTTATACCTAACAAGGCTAAAGGTTCCTTGCTGTACTGGTCATGGGGTCACCTTTTAAGGGGTTGTATGAGTCATCTAGACACCTTTTCTTCTTTTTAATATAATGATACACACCTTTCCTGAGTGTTCCAGGGTGGAAAAATGGCTAAATGTTCCTACACTCCAGCAGATTTGTGTACAGACAATTGTTTCCTTTGAGGCAGAAGTAAGGGAGACCCAAAAGCCCTGCTTGGATTCCGCAGAGGGGCACAGATATCATCTAAAATCAGTATGTGTGGTAAATCAAATGTAGGAACATGTGATCTTCAGGAGGTGTTTCATTCAAATAGAATCTAGCCCAAATGCAACATACGACTCAATGGATACTTACTTAAAATTTTAAAATTTTAGTATGAAAAGTAGATGTTCAAACAGTTCCTAAGTTGCACACTTGCACCTAATAGCATACTTGTAGGCACTACCAGTACCAGATGTGTGAATAGCACGCTACTTTAAGAAAAATGCAAACCCTTGCCTGGTGCAGCTAATGCTGGATTGACACCATCTGGCTTCGGATGGAAGTACCTGCATGAATCCCCATACTTGCAAGCCCCCTGCAACATGAAGGAATTGACCTCAAAATTCAGAGCGGCCTACTCTTGGTGCATGTGAGGCAGCTGCTAAGTTTCCGACGCAACGCGAGATGACTCACCGTGCGGACGAAGTGGTGACAGATGCCCTTGGCGAGGGTGCCGTCAGGCAGGAGGAGGGAGGAAGCGCCGCCATGCTGCTCTGCCGACGAAGGAAACAGAGGAGTCAACCGGAAAGACCTGAACGGCCCCGAGCGCGGTGGCAGACACGGTGTTCGACGAAACGCGCCAACCAGAGAGCAGATGAAGCGACGACTGCGAAGGGGAAGGAGAAGGGGAAGAGGAGGGTTGCCGGCTGACCTTGGTGGCGGATGGAGTCGTACCAGAGGGCGCGGGCGCGCTGGTGCTGGACGCCCTGGAGGTGGCGCCTCCGGGCGGCGGGGGTGTCCTGGAACTGCTTGTCGCAGTAGTCGCAGTAGTACTTCCCCAAGGGCATCCTGTTGGGTGTTGGCAGCTCTGCTCTCTGTAAATCTGCAGCAACAGATCCTACACAATTTTTGCAAAAGCTGAGAATTTCATTTGCTAATTCGAAGCCTAGCCAAAAACCCTAGAGGTGCAACCAAAGAAACATCTGTAGTTGAACAGTCCAATGCTAGATTGCAACTTGAGGGTATGTATGACTCAGAAAAATGTCACCCACGAAGACTCGACGCCTCAAAATCTAACCTGATACCAGGAATCTGTTTTGCGTAACGCCTCCTCTAACAGCAGCTTCGATTGAAAAAACAAGAAGAATCATACCAAACACCTCATGAGAAGAGGCAGCGGAATCATACTAACCACCTCACGAGAAAGAGCTGTAAATATAAAATAAAATAAAATAAAAAAACTGGAGTTGCAGTTGGTGGCTCCTCTAACTCCAGCTCTTTTAAGAAACTGCACTTTACAGTTTATGGTTACACCCTCTAAGCATCTCCACCAGATCTCTTCTACTCTCCCCATCTCTAAAATAAAAAATGTAATAGCTACAACAAATCTCCTATCACTGTATTTTTTAAGGAGATCTTCTAAATCCATCACCATCTCTCTAATAAAAATGGAAGACCTCTTCATCTCCTAAATCAGGACGAGATTTTAACAATCTGCCGTAACAAAGGTCCCTAATATCCTAAAGTTAATTTTAAGACATCTCCTATAACTTTGTACAGGAGGAAAGAATAGGAGATATCTCCGAAGAAGTACTCGGATAAGTAATACCAAACCAAGGATACCCTCTGCGCGCGTCACATTTCCTCAACCGTCTCAAACGCTGCAATAGCACAACTTTCTGATAAGAGCTATCAAACCAACATACTTCCAGACTGATCAAATAACAATGTACTACATCTCAACCAAAATATTTTGGCAACAATCAACAGCAGATACCAACGCCAGTGTGCAATAATCGACAGGAGCAAGCTGGTAGGCACTAGGCAACAGGTAGCTAGTTATTCTGAAACAAAATACGGTAGCAGTATGGGTCTGGAGACAAGGAAACATGGAAAAACGAAGTGAATCCATACATAGATTCAAGCTACCATAAATACATTGATACTGCTCTATAACAAATTACAAGATCAGCTATGGCAATCTCGAATAAGCGTCAGTTAGTAGGAAGGGGGTTCCGTTACATGTCACTGCGACATAGACTACTCAGCTACACAGGTCACATTGTCCTACAAGTAGGTAACCTTGCATCTTCAACGACAGGCTCGCATGCCTCAGATCATCCAACATCCCAGGGAAAATGCACAATTGCAACCACAGGTTCCAGTCTCAAGGCTCGGTCATTTCACAATCCAATATAGGAGCATTGCTTCTTTGCATGTTCTGGAATCAATTTCGCGACAATGTCTGCTGGGACTCCTTTCAATTCTGCAGGACAGAAGTGGCAAGCATTTAAGGTGGTGATATACAAAGAACAAACTTGGAACTACATTGCTAGCTGATTGTAAGTTGTAAAACCTACATTAACAATGCTGAATTGAGTAGGCATGAAACATACCGTGAGCTTTGAAATTGAAAAGGGGTGGCAAAAAGCGGCCATTTGGAAGACGAGTGTTAGGATCTCGAAGCTCATCAAAGAATGGGTGAACAAGTGCCTCCACCTGGACAAAAGATTCATAAGATATTAGAAAATCATAAAGTCAACAGGGGTAATGCAGGAACTGGTGCACAGGTCTAATGCTATGAGTATTTCCATCATGTAATGTACAATGACATGCACTTACAGCAGTGCATCTCAGATTTGGGGAGTACTGGAGTAGACGAGAGACCAGATCAACAGCTTCTGGCGGCATCCTTTTGTGGAATACCTGAAAGATAAAATGTCCAAAAAGGCAATTAGTAAGACAACAGCAACAGTTTCTTTAGAACATTGTAACAAAAGGTAGGAAGATTTGCACCTTGTGCCATGGGTGTGCTTTGATTTGTGGGAACTTAAACTCTGTGTAATTCGGGTTCATGCATTTAATTTCTTCCCTTGTTGGAGTACCAAGGACCTGCCATACAAAATCAAATTAAGGGTGATCAGAATTTGTGCTTCTGTAGAAGATAATTTACAAGTTCACAGAACCGACAACTACCTTGATGATTTCAACAAGTTGGTCCACGCCACTTTCACCCGGAAACAAAGGCTGTTGAAATAGTTCTTGTAAGACAGTGTGAACTGAAAAAACTTTTGTTGACTTGAAAACTTTTTAAAAAAATGGCAATAAAAATTTGAGACACCTTACCTGCCCTAGCATAAGCTCAGCAAGAACACATCCAGCAGACCAAATGTCAATCGCTGTGGTATACTCAGTAGCACCAAATATGAGCTCTGGAGCCCTATAGTATCGGGAGCAGATGTACGATATGTTTGGTTCCCCCTTGACCAGAACTTTTGCACTACCAAAGTCACATAGTTTAAGCTGGTGGGTGTGTGGGTTCACCTGTAGTGAAGTTTGAAAATCAATTTCAAAGTACAAAGCCATTTCTTCTAGAAAAAGATACAGAAGCAAAGTAGAAGATTTTCCAGCATACCAAAAGATTCTGTGGCTTAATATCTCTGTGGCAGACACCGATGGTACCATGAATGTAAGCCAATGCCCTACATATCTGCCAAAAACCAATACAATATCAAATATTGAAAAAGAACAAGCACATCCATTGGAGCAGCCAATATTTAGGTGAAATGAAATATGTTTTTCAGCTTCAACATCAAATATTCTCCAACAGGGTCCAAAACATAAGCTTTAAAGTATAATTAAAACAATAGCAAAAAGGAAAGGGGCAAATCATTACCTGGTACATATACAGCTTCACATAAATAAGTGGCATGCGTTGGTTCATCTTGTTGTGATGCTTCACAACTCGATGAACTGTCTCTGGCACATACTCAAGGACCAAGTTTAGATAAAGCTCATCCTTCTCAGTTGTTGAAAAGAAGCAATGCTTCAAAGCAACAACATTAGGGTGGTCAAGAAGGCGCATGGTCTGCAGCTCACGGTTCTTGTAACGCTTATCCTGAAGAACCTTCTTTATCGCAACAGTCTCACCCGTCTCCAAACACTTAGCCTATGAACGGGTGAAATGGCATTGCAAATTAGGAGAGGCATCTGATTACAAAAGGCTTTATGTCACACAAGATATGAAAGATCTAAAATATGTACGGCACCATGGAAAGCAATGCCACAGACAGCTGCATAATAGAACATATCCAAGTCAGTCACAAGTTGTTGCAACTAACCTGGAAGACAATCCCAAAAGAACCTTGACCTACAATGCGCTCAGCCATATAGCTCACTGTCTGCAAAAGCAACCAATAAATACACATTATTATACATACAAAAAAAACTGAGAAAATTGATCAAAACAATTCCACAATCAGGCTGTTCGGTTGGCTGGTTCGTTTCGTTGCTGGATCGTGAAGAAGTACTGCTGGCTGGTTTGTGTGAGAAAAATACTGTTCCGGCTGGAAATTTACGATCGTTTACGACAAGCCACAGCCAAACGAACAGGCTTCTAGCATCATGAATATTGGCAATATGCAAAAGTAGCACATTAAATTATGGCCTTGGCTTTCAATTATTAGATTCAGGCACACACTACAAACATGTACAATAGTTGATAAATCCTGATCAAATGCAGTAAAGTACTCGCCTGTTTTGGTTGACCATTCTTGCCACCAGTAGTAGTAACAATTATGTGCCCAGTTTCAGTCCCTTTCCCATTAATTATGGTTGCTTCAACTTCCTGCAATTGGCATTCACGTCAAATGTTATAGCACGGTCCATTTCTCACATAATCTCGAAGAAATTACAGAAAGCCCGAAACAAGATGTCATTGCATCTTCACCTTATCATCTCTAATCTTTATCTCGTTCATCTGATCTTGCAACTTCTCCACACCAATGCTGGTGCTGCTGCTGTTTTTGTACCCAGAAGGGGCTACACCAGCTGAAGCCATCTCTGAAGAAATCCAACGTGCAGCAATTCAGCTTTGCATCAACTCCCCCAACAGCAGCAGATCTATCGGGCTACCTGTAAGTGGATTAACAAACAAATCGATCAGAGGGATGGTTCTAGATATTGCAATGGCAGCATCATTCGCAGAGGCAGAAGCTTAATGTCTAGCGAGCTGAACTTTTTGTTAACAAGTAGTACAGCCCATCCCTCGAATATAGGTAAAATGTAAGAAACGAGAACAAGTTCTTCCTAGACTTGCAAACACGGCTAAGTCATGAGCCAAGCAGGCAACCGACAGAAAATAGAGCACAGAATCACCTAATAGTTGACACACATTGCAAGAACCGCTCACGGCTTATCAAAACATCGTAAAACGAAGTCATTCGTGTTTACTGTACCAAAGTTTAGCCGTGGAATCGAAAGGCTTTCTTATCTTGACCCTCCTCTCTAAACATATAAAGCCAGACTGGCAGATACTCGTAAAGATACAGACGCTATGTTCATCCGCGAAGCAAAGCTCCCCCCTTTTAAATGGTCTAACTTAGAATGGAAGAGAAAAAAAAGCTCGGCTGCATATGCCTCGGCAAGAACCCAAGCATATCAAGGCAATGTGCTCCTAACTCTTGGAAAGTCAAAGCAAATAATCCTAATGTAGGACCCCCTCTGAATCTGTTCAGGGGCATTTCCGAGCCAGTAACGAAGGGGAACAAGCAAATCCACAAAGAATTGACGGCTTGGGCACTAATTGATGGATTTCATTTCGCATGGAAGCCTAGAGCAGAACCTATGCACCGATAGACAAGAGGAACAGGAGTCATGAGATCCGCGCAAACGCTCTAGCCTCTAGGCTGACTAAATCGCTAAAAACATGAACACGAACTCAGAGAAAGAGCGCATCTTTCGCAGAACGATGCCAACTTCGTCAAGAACCCAGGAAACGCTCATGAAATCGCCACTGACCCGCGCGAAGAACAGGCCCAACCCAGCCGCGAACGGTCCGTGCCTCTCACCAGGAAATGGCAGATCCCAGGAGACGGATGACCAGAGCTCCCAGAACCGCCAGCGGCGCCCGCAAACATGGACCAAGAACGGAACGCCCATTCGCGGTCACAAACGACCAACAGAGAAGAACAAACCGAAAAAACAAACCGCCAAATCTAGGAGCAAGAACAGATGGGTGTCCATACCTCTAACCTCCTCCTGTTGCCCCTTCCTTCCTCCGCCAAAGAAATCTCTCTGTTCCCCTCCGAGATTTGGTTCCTCCTCTTCGCCTCCTCCCGCCTCCGCCTCCTCTCTACCTCCCTCCCTGTTCTCTGGCTGCTCGCTCTCCTCTCCCTCCTCCTTTCCTCCCCCTTTCTACCTCCCTCCCCCGCCTCTTCTTTCCGCCTGTCGGGACGCAGGCGCACAGCAGAATACTGCTCCCAACGCGACGCAGCGGCCGAAATGATTTGTGCCTGCCTGCCTGCTGCCGAGGCCTGCAGTCAAAACACCCGCCACCACCACATGACACGACGCCCGCGCGCACCACCCGCGCGCGGATCCCTCCCCCTTTAACGCCCCAGACATGTGGGTCGGGTTTCTCACGGGCTCCACCTGTCAACCAAGTGGTCTCGGAACGAGTCACGTGCACACAGGGCGCCGGATCCCTTGGGGTTTGGTTGGGCCACGCCTTTTGACTGGTCAAATCCGCGGGGCCCGCTGCCCGGACTGCGTCGGAGGGGCTCGGTTACTGTTCGCCTCCTCTGCCCCTGCACGCTGCCGCGTGGAGCCGAGCGCGGTCAGGGCCCACGCCGCAGCCGGTGGGATCCAGTGGCGGGGGGTTCCGCGTTTGTCCGTTATTTTTACCGCATCTGGGCACGCGAGATTCGAATACTGGGGTGTGGTGCGAGGGCGAGGAAAAGACGGTCGTGCCCCTGGGCTTGGTTAGATCTGGGCTCTTGTTTTGAAGTCGAGGCGAGGAACGGTAATCGGGAGGTGGGTGGCAGAGCAGCGAGGACGGAGGACCACCGCACCGGCGCTCGCGAGAGACTGTTGACTGGAACCGGTGAGCTGGTGCAAGTGAGGTGGGCCGGGCTTTACAGGACCGCAGGAGCAGGTACTCCGAACCCCCGCGGTGCGTTCGGTTTTGAAATTTCAAATCTGAACGACCGTGGATCCGTGGATAGACAACTTGACGCCAAACGTAAACAAGCTGGTGAAACAAAGCTCCTTTTGTGCCCGAGAGACTAAGGGCCCGTTTGGAAAGGTTTCTCTTCGGCTCCGGCTCCGGCTCCTCCAAAGAAGTCGTGCCAAACATTTTTCTCGAGTAGCCATTTTTCAACGAAAAGCAGGTGAGCCGGAGCCGTTTTAAAAAAGCCATAAATTATGGCTCCTTCAAAACGGCTCTGGCTCCTCCGAAAGAGCCCCTAAAAAATGAGCCGCGCCAAACACCCCCTGAGAGGTCCAACGGTCTAGTTAGTTGGTACATAGTTTGTCATACTTAACCTTAGTTATTAAACTATAAAAACTGCGATGAGCAAAATCGAAGCCACGTAGAGCTAAGTTTTTGTGCCAAGTTGTGCCCAATTATGGAAGCAATCCAAATACACCCTTAGCCTCAACTTTTGCATCTTTACAAATGCTCCAGCTTATGCCAACCACTAGATTTACCAATTATCAGAGTACGATGGAGAAATGCCTAGTGCCTTGGCTAACAAAAATTCAAAACCATTGCCCCGTAGCGTGTTAGCAAATGAATTTGTCTATGTCTTGGTTACATATTTATATGAGATAAAAGAGGATCGTAAAAAGGTTTTACCACAAGATAAAGTGTTGTTTTTTTCACATGTTAGCTTGAACTTAGAGCTCGATGGCCTTGGTTCTCCTTTCATAGGTAGTTTGTACATTTATTCCGAAGCCAACAACATTATTAGCGTGCACTGCTCTTGCACTTCTCTGAGCTCACACATTTTATGCGGACCAAGAGAAGAGGAGTGCAAAGTGGGCTATAGTGAAATTATATACGAGCAAGGCTTATAATCATGTGAAGTTCGGATTCTTAAGAAGTATGATGACCAAGTTGGGCTTCCATCTAGAATGAATTGATGTGGTCGTGAATTATTTCACAATACTGTCTTATCGTATTAAAGTTAATGGTAAGCTAACTAATAAGATGTAATTGCCCCCACAACGTGATTTGAGACAAGGAGATCCCTCTTGCCTTTTATGTTCTCGATATGCACTAAAACATTATATTGTCTATTGAATGTAGACAAAATAGCGGTGAAGTGGAAGAGATCAGTATATGTAATGATGTCCCGAGTATCAATCACCTATTGTTTGCAGATGATTTCTTGGTGCTCCTAAAAAATAATCAATGGAGTATATTAGATAATCTCTAAAACATGCTTTCATCGTATGAGAATTAGGGGCAAATCATAAATAAAGATAGGTCGTCAGTTTTAGTAAGAACACAAGCGAGGCTGCTAACTCTCATGTCATCCCTTCAAATCTCCAATGCGGGGAGGAATGAGAAATACCCTGGCCTAGCGATTTATGTGGGAATATCACAATCACACACCTTTGCCTATCTCAGAGACAAGCTCTAGAAAGGAATACAAGCTAAGGTTGGAAGGATAAATTATTATCGAAAGCAGGAAACAAAAACTTGATAAAAGCGGTTGCGCAAGTGGTGCCAATGTAAGTGATTTCCTTCTTTGATTTGACCAAATTTTTGTGTGATGAATTAGTCATGATGGTATGCAAGTGCTTTTGGTCACAGCTAGATAATGAAAATAAGATGAGTTGGCTTTCCTGGGACATAATGTGCAGCCAAAAAACCTAGGAGGTATGGGGTTTAAGGATCTACATCTCTTTTAACTTGGCAATGCTTGCATGACAAGGGTGGTGGTTGCTACAATTTCCAGAGTCATCGTGTGTGCTAGTCCTCTAGGCCAAATACTTCCCATTAGGGAAAATTTTTTGGGAGCAACATAGAGATCAGACATCTCATATTTTTAGTGGAGCGTAATAATGAGTGGTCTACAGGCATTGAAGGATGGAGTGATCTGGCTTTGTAAGCGATGGAACACAAATTCACATTTGGCAAGACCCCTCTCAATACGGAGTGGCATAGATGCTAATGACATAATCCTTACTAGGGTGTATGAATTGATTAATATGATATTAAGCAACTAAGGCAAACCTATGGTATAAGATTTTTTTTGCAACAAAGACATAAAGAACATTCTAGCTATCTCAATAAAGCAAGGTATAGAGGACACTTATGCGTGGCAATATGATGGGAAAAGGTGTGTTCTCTATTAAAACTTCTTACTAAAAGACAAATAGGAAAGGCAGTCCATCAAATAGAGAGGTAAATCTAGTTTCAGGGGCTCTCAAGATGACAACTTCAATTGGAACAAAATTTGGATGATACAATGACCAGCTAAAGTGAAGCACTTCCTTTGGAGACCTACTCATATAGTTTGTCGCTATGGATAAACACCTCGAGGAGAGCCTTGTACATCGACACTAGGTGCCCTGCTTGTTGGATGAAGATGAAGGACATTGCTTCCTCAAGATGCAAAAGAATTAAAAGTTACTGACAATACATGGATCTTGAAAACATTCAATTATCATTGGCGACCATGGAACCCGCTCCAATAGTTGTACAACACATCCTGTCTATGGAAGAAGCAAAAACCTTGTTGTGTTTGGTTTGACGTGGGATTTGTGGGATGCTCGCAACAAAGCAAATACAGGTGAACACATGCTGCCAACAACGAAACCATCTACAAGGCCAACAATATCAACTATGAGTCAAGGAACAAGAACCCTAGATCTTTTACGAATTATGAGAGAGCTAGGATAGAAGAAAAATGATGCCTTCAGATAAAAGGACAAAAAGAGAGCTCTGGTTGGGACACGGTGTTAACTGGCTGTTAAAAAGACATTTTTGCCCCTAGAAAAAAAGTGGCGAAGCAAATTTGAGAGAGAAAAACACCTGCGCCTTTTTTTGCA